ATGGAGAGGCCAATCCATTACTGCAGCCATCTACCACTGGAAAGCAATAGCACTAATGATACAGGTTTTCAATAGCTGATTTATATTATCCTGCAGTCAACAAGAACTCATGATTTTGTGTCACTGTACTGTTTAAAGCAATGCTCCCAAATGGTGGCAGGCCCCAAATCTGACCCTCTGTAACACTGCTGTGCTACGAGGGGGTGAGAACTTAACAAACCCCCACCAGTCCTCCAGAGTATGGTCTGGACAAGCTCTTTGCTTGCTAGCAGTGGGTCCTGTGAGCCCCCAGTTGGTATGAGGCTCCTTCTGGGGAGTGATCCCGTTAAGACTCTCTATGGCTCCACCAGCTCCCTGGCGCCGTGCCACCCAGAGGGAGGACAGAGGAGTTACAGTCCTCACTCAGGGAAATATTACACTTAAAATCTCATTGACTGACTGCTAATTTGGTGGTGGTTGACAAGAAATGCGTGTTAGTGTCTGTAAATGAGAGGCAGTAACTGGCTCCCCTCCTCTTCCTCCTAGTGATAGAAGTACTTTGGGCAGTGCAGAAGTGCCCGCAGAATCCTGCATGGAGCAGAGCTCCTGAGGGAGAGGGGGCAGCAGCAGGGAGCTGTGTTTGCTGGAGAAAATGTCTGATGAGCCGTGGGAGAACCAGCCTGAGCAGGTAGTGAGCACGGCCCCATCCTCTCCTTGGGTTGTGTCTGAATCTGGGAATGGTCCCCTCAGAGTGCTCCACCATAGCAGGTCAGCTCAGCTGGGCTGGGGACTTGTTTCGGGAGGTGCTAGTGGTTCCAGCAGCACATGCAGGATGTAAAGACTGTATGCTGAGCAGCTGGGCTCTGGGAGAGGGGAGTGTAGGTGCAGTGTGGAGCTTTGCACACTCACATGGGCTGACCTGCAGGGACCAGCAGTGTCTTTTTGGACTTGTACACACTCTGTTTTCACACAAATATTCCATGTGGATTTGCAACATGCGATGGCTGCCGAGTGTATTTCACACAGTCACAGTCTAGTGACTGAAGGATCCACTAATTAAGAAGCCCCTAATTAGGCTTTTAAGTGATAAACTGTAATAGCTCTAGTGCAGCTGTTGTTAACTATAGAGTAAATTATACCCAGTTGAAAGGGGCTTTAATTACGTATTTATATAACATACTTTAAAGACTTTGAAAGATAAAAGAATTTTTAGTATCTGCAATTAAAAAAACCAAGGAATTAACAATAGAACACTTAAACCAATGAAAGCAAGGAAATTCAAAGTTAATCTGAAAAGCTGTGCTGGTACTTTCTTTTATGCTCATGGCGTTCTAATTTTTGGGGGGCTTGTTTTTGTTCATTTTTGTTCTTTTTTGTTTTCGTGATGGATTAGATAAAGGAGTATTTTCAGACAGGAGTTTATATCCCCTGCTTTAATAATTTTTCTAGCTTTATAGGTCCATGTACAGCATTAATGATACTCGGCAAACTTCCTCTGGCTTCGTTTTTGCAGCAATCCTAGCAGGAACACCCTTATCAGCCAGCTTGTCTCCTTGCATTCTGATTTACAGAATGGTTGGTTGGACACATGCCTTTTTGAAGCCAACAGCAGCTCAAAAACTGGTCCTGTTTGGGCCTTGGAGACAATGTTCAGGCCAAATCTAGCCTGTGTGTTTTTGGTGCAGTGTTGGCAGGCATTCACCACGCTGGGCTTACCAAGTGGAGAAAGTTGGATGTATCTGGGACAACTCACCTATCTGCTGCCACCACACAGAAGGTACGGACACTAGGCTGTGATGTGCAAAGAGCTCAGTTCCTTTGCTCTCAGGTACTGGCCCTCACAGCTGTAGGACCGAGCAGCCCTTGACAGCCAAGTGAGGTAGTGCAGTTTTGCTTATTCCTGCCACATCCAAGTATTTTTATCTGGAAATGTCACAGTGAGGGAAATAAGGAATAGAGTTCTCATAGTTAATTTTTATGGCTGATTAATTAGCCCAAAGAGTATTAAATTGTGCTAATGTAGTTTGCCTCTTCGATGCTGTCTTTTGACTTCAATGGAACTAAATACATGCTTAAAGTTAACTACGTGCCTAAGTGCTGTGGTGAATCGGGGCCTAGGGCATTAATTAGAACTTGGCTCAGATTTACTTTCAAGGCTTTTCCCCCTCTTTTTTTTTTTTTTTTTTTTTTTACTCTTCAGTGCTCAGCAGTTTAATTGGTATGTAGATGTTCCCCTTTATTGCTGGCAGAGGCCTCTGTCACTGTTCTGAAGGTACTCAGACATCAAGGCTGGTACAGTGGGCAGGAAGAAACCCCCCCTGAAGGCTTTCAAGCTTTGTGGGAAATAATGATGTATGAGACAGGGATTCCTTTGGAACCTGAAGGGAACATGACAGACAGAATAATATGGGAGGAAAACATTGTCTTCACAATTGAGACTGATGGTCTCATCTTGTCTCCTTGTTATTGTTACCAACCAAGACTGAGATGAGCTTTCTTATGAAGAACTTCATTTTGTGGCAGGTCCTATATGTTGGACACACTGTGCTCAGTGGTAGCTTTCCATCCAAGGTACAGATATTGACAGGCTCTGAGGAACCCTTTGAGGTGGTGGTTTAGCTTAAAACCTAAAATTCCTTCCAGCATTGACATGCATTTTGTCAGGAATGACAGTTGCAATTTGATAATCTTTTACCACTTTGCCTGCCTATCTCAATCTGCTTGCTGGAGGGGAGAAGCCAGAGTTGTTGGGCACAGGAGTGTCAGCTTTATGAATCAGCTTTTCTCACACTTTATTAATTTCACTATCCAGTGGTTAGTGCATGTTTGCAAGAGACAATTGATTTGTACGGATCTGTGTAGGATTGAGCAGAGCTGCTACTAAAGCAGGAGTGCAAGCTGACAGCAATGCAATAGCTCTAATTGACAGCTACCAAAGACAATACTTAAAGCAACATTTCTTCTGGTGTTTAGGTTAAAAAGGACCCTCAATTTTTCCTCAAGTTGCCACGTTCAAAAAGAAGTGTTTTCATATATATTCATTTCAGATGGATTAACTGAAATACCAAGTGCTCATTTTCTATACTTGTATTTTCAAGTTAGATGATTCAAAATGCTGTTGTGCCAGCTACAGGAAGATGTCTGCTTCTTGACTCCTCCAGAGTAAAAGCTGTCTTTTAGGGGACACTTCGCACATGTGAGATTTGTGTTAGTGTTTTTTGACACCCACAGTTTGCATTTCAGCTAATGGGAGGCAGAAAGACTAATACACCTACTGCATGTTGTGGGTGCAGAAATGCAAATAGAAATTACACCCACCCTGGAAAGGGCTGGGAAAGTGTACCTTCTTGGATGTGAGCAGGGCAGGTTAGGAAACATCATCTTCCCTTTACAATTGTCTGTTACTCTTTACATTTCTGGAGAACTGGGATCTTGCTGTTAATCTTACAAAAATAGATGCTGTGGTGAAGCCTCAGGCATGAATAAAACTGGATGTTAATCTTAAAGCAGATTTTTTACAGCTATGCACTCAGAGCCAGTGAATCCAAATGATTTTGGAAACTCGGTGTTTGTTACTTACTTAGATCAAAATACTGTGGGGAAAGAGGTCAGTGGCACAGGTACATGTGGGGCTCCTGAAAGTTGAGCAGATAAGCACTGCAAGCATTAGACATCTCTAGCTTGACACAAATAATAGGCAAAGCTGAAAAAAGCCTGCTGACAAGAGGAGTGGGTGTTGGTGGGTGACTTGCTGCAGTTTTAGAGCTGTTAAGTGTAGGTTTTTTAGCATTTTCATTATTTAAAAGTGGAGTGGTAGTTTCTTCACTCCCTCTGAAAAGTTACTAATTTACTCTGAAATACAGGGTAAGCCACAATGATTTAACAGATTTGTAATGTGCTTTAGAATGATTTTAAGTAACAGACGCCCTCCTTCTCTCCAAGCTTCCCACTGTCTCAGCTCTGCCCTCACTCCTTTCTCTGTGTACATCTGTGCCAAAATGCAAAGCAGGGCTGCCCCATGCATGGCTTTCATCTATATCCAGTGTCAGCTGGAGAGCCTGGGTGGCTGTGACCACTGGTGTTCATGCAGGTTTGCCTCATTTCTGGAGTTCAGAAACAGAGTGGCTGTAATAGGCTGAGTTAGCTACGTTTGGGTGTTGGGAATGACATCCTAGACTGTGGAGTGGTTCAAAAGCTGCTGCTTTGCAGGTACTGCTGCAGGTGGACAGACCTTCCCTGGAGGAGCCCTGACATGCAGAGGCTGCTTTTTACCTAGTGCATGCCAAGTGCCTAGTGAACCACAGTCAAGGACCATGATTAAGTTCCCCAGGATGCTCCTGGGATACAGGCAGCATTAAGTAATCTATAGTCTTCTGTGTCTGATTCAGAGAAGGCAGCTGAGTTGTGTTCCTGAGAGGCTGTCCAACAAGGCAGGCAGCCTGCAGGGGTGGAAGGTTCTCAAGGATTGTTTCCTGTTGTCAAGCTGAAGAGATCTCAGCTGTGCCCCGCTCCGGCCAATTCGTGCCCACGAAGTGCTGTGCTGAACAGCCCTGCCCATGGCAGCTCCAGCTGCAGGACTTCTTCATGGGAGATGCTTAAATCTGATGGAGAAGCAGCTGACCTTGCGTTTACTCAGAGAGGTCTCTGGTGGTTTGTGGTAAGGAATTGGGACCTGGGGCTGAAGCCACAACCTCCAGGAGCAAACCACAGAATTTACACAACTGCCAAGGCCTGCCCATTTGCCTTCCCAGCTGAAGGTCTGTGTCATCACACAGCTGTTGCTGTTCTGTCTGCTCTTGTCATTGTTTGAGGGAAGAATCTATTTGTTCAATATAGCAATGATGTCTAGTTCAGTTTAATTTTCTTGGCTACTGCTGTTTTATTACTATTCACTGCATCCATGGGTTTGTTTAGAGTCAATAACCAAGGGTAGAAATACTTGGATGGAAAGCTAAGTGGAAATGCAGAGGTTCTGGAGGACTCCAGGGTTTCTTTTGCTCTTCTTTGTTTCCCTGTACTAGGAGGCATGGAGAACACTTGTCCAGTCATAACTGAAACTATCCAAGATGCACAGGCCTGAAATGTCACCTTCAGTTTCTGTTGCTCTCTGGTGTGTATCATGTCTTCTAGAAAACTTTTTGGACAACAGCTTTTGTTACAAGGAGAGACAGTAAGTTTGTGCACTCAACTTCTTTTTGGAAGAATATTTTATTATTAAACCTTCCTTTTTCCAGAGTCTTGAGCCTTTGATCTGGGAGCTTACAGGGTGGGTAAGTGCAGCTGTACTGGGCTGGACAGATGTCACCCTGAGGGATTCACACACATAACTCTCCTTGGCCTGAACTAGAGAAGGGCCAGAGTTGGTTCACTTTCACTTTCTGACACTGAGAAAAATGAATGCTGTTCTACAGAACCTGTAATTTTTTCCCAAGTAGAGGTGACTAAAGAAGGCCTGAGCTGACTATAGATAATATTATATTTACTGGAAATGAATGTAGCTTATAACTCTTATTTTAGCACCAATCTGGAACACTGTGAACAGATTTATAATGTCTGCCTTACCTTGGCATTCTGGCATCTGTGCACTTATTGAACAGATACTGCACATTCTTGCACTGGTGTGTGAGAGTTTAATGAAGCCCAAATGAAAGGTGAGGAGGTAGAAGGTAGATACTTTAAGAAACAAAACTATTCTTTTTGTGTGCTCCATAATCTTATTTTAGTTCTTAAATATGGTTTTATTCTTCTGATACTAAGGGTCTCAGCACTGATTTCAGTATGTGTGTCATCAGCAGAGTTAATAGCTGTTTTAGAAGTTGCAAGTCCTTTGTTCCTGCATTGAAAAGATTTAAATTCAACCATGTGTTTTTAGACCAGACACAGAAAGCCTTTTCTGTGTTTATAGAAGAGCAGATTTAATCTGGAAGTCATTGAGATAACCATTCAAGAACTTCCCTGATGTGATTTTTGGAGTTACTCTGTTCAGGTATTGAACATAAGGGCACTTGAAACCTTAAAGAAGTTTAAATATAGATGATAATGAAAATGTTACTGGCATTTATGGATCGGTTGATAATGTCAACATACTTAAGTGACACAACATGGACAGTGCCTTACTTTATTGTAATAACATGATCCTCGATATACAGTGATGATACATTCACCTTTATAAAAAGCTTTTTGAGTAATCCAATTGCTCTGAAATGCTGTATCAAAGTATTACAGAACACAGAGTTGCTGTCTGCCAAGTATTATCTCTATTATAGCAACCTAAGCTAAGAAAACACATTTGGAAAAAACGTTCCAAGCAGTGGTAGTGGGGTTTTTTTGGTTTGTTGGGTTTGTTTTGTTTTTAACATTCATGAATATTTGGAGTTGGTGTTTCAACTAAATTTCTTTCACCCAGATTAAATGCAAATTGCAGGATTCTTCAAGCATAAGTCATATGCCAGGAGTATGGTATTAGCATTTCTTTTAATAAAAATAACTTTGGAATAGGTACCGTATTTGGTGAATTGCCTCTCTTGTCATTCATCACTGTGTAACATCCCTGTAGAACTGCAGTAACTGCAAGGAAGGAAAACACTGGAAAGTGTTTCTTGGAGCTGGGATTGGCAGAGGTCTGCCTTTCTGTTAAAAAAAAAAAAAAAAAAAAAAAGCTAGTTTTTGTTCCTTACTTTGCCCTGTCGTTTTTGTGCTATTGCGTACTGGAAGAAACCAGCAAAGGTGAGCACTAGATGAGCCATGAATTCCCTTCGGACCAGATCTTGGGAGTCTCTGCTCTGACATGTGTTTTGCTGTTACTTTTTCCTGAGGGGCTTTATTCTCAAAATCTCAGAATATATTCTTCCAGTAAGATTTCACATAGTTTGATAAATGTTTGGATAAATTTAATACCATCTTACCAAAGCAGACAATAGTTCTTTCTTGAGGAACCGAGCTGAGATGAAATGCTCATTTATGTTGGTGGGATAGTAATTAAGACAACAGATCCAAATCAGGGATTTGTTTTTCTGTTGCAGGAGTAGGCTGAATCAAAGCCTCTGTCAACAGCTAGGGCTGAAATACTGAATTAACATACCAAACAGTAGCACACCAGGAGCATAGTCTTCTACTTGGAACAGAAGAGACTCAGACAAACACAGGGCATCCTCAGTCAGCAGGGATGTTGCTGCTCCCTGAGCACTGCACGCTCTGAGTGTGTTCATGGCTGATGGAAATAGGCCCAGTTTTGGGGGAGCTTGGTGGTATGGGAGACAGCCCCAGCTGCTCTAATAGGATGGCTTATTGCTTTCTTGTAGAGCAAGGAAGAGCTGTTCTCTTTTGAACCTGCAAAACTGGTATAATATTAATTAGACTCCCATCAGGTTTCATTAGTGAAGGCCCATATAATAAAATAGGAAAGGCTCTATAGTAATACTGAAAATTGTTGTGTCATTTATATGGAGTGAGCAGAGATCAGTAGCCATGAAAACACTGCTTTTGTGGAAATATGAAATATTTAGGTAAAATATCTAGGTAAAATCTGAACAGAAATTGGATTACTGCCTGATAAAATGGTGCTTCTTCCCTTCTAAATAGGTTTGATCCTCTCCTTAATGCAAGACCCACACCTTCACCTAGATTCCTTCCTGGGCAGCTGCAGTGGATCTGAACACCAAGGAAATTTGGCCCACTGGATTCCTTTCCTTTCTGTGCAGTTGAATGAAAAGTGTGTGTCTTTTGAAGGACAGCAACTGAAAGAAATACTGATGACTGCCAGAGCATCTACAGAAAAGCATAAGAAAATTACTACAACGGTGAAGACAAAGGGGCTTTGTTAACTCTTTCTTGTAGGTTGTATGTATTAATAGAAACAAGTAAAGTTTTGTATTTTTTCAGGGAAACACACAAGGCTTTGAATTGTATTGTTTTAATTGCAGCTAACTGAATGAATTAAGTGGAAAATTGCAGACAGTGCTTTGATTGTCTAACTCTCTGTATGTGAGGCTTTGGGAACAGTTTGTTATTACAAAAGAATAGTACTAACAAGAAAACAGCCAGCATGTAATTGCTGGGTTGAGGGGCAGTTTAGGGAAGGCTGATACTTATTTATAAATTATTAAATAAAAGCACATAATAACTGGATCATCTCTTACTGCCTCCACACTTCATACATTACTCATCTTCCTAAATTTCATCTTTTTGTACTCCCTTAGTACGTTGCTTCTTATAACCAGTGCAGGCATCAAAACCACCCACGCCCAGGAAAGGAGATGCCTGTGCATTTGTTACAATGGCAGTTTTGGTTATGGGACTCATCTAAGAATATGAACCTTTCAGTTCAAGGAAAGAAATCTTGACTAGACTTTTAAAGGTTGTTTTATGTGCCTAAATACACGTGTAACAAGGAGGTGGGTAATGTTCTGGCCTCACAAGTGAGGTGCGTGTCCTACAGACTGAGGGGCCATCGGTGCTCTGCAGTGGATGGAAAGTCTGGGGATGGAAAGGTGTGCCAGCACCTGGATAGCTGGCTCTGCTGGACACATCTTTGAGCTTGCTGTGCCGCTATATACTGTGACAGTCGTGCTGTGTAAACAAACCACTCTGTTAAACCACTTAAACAGTGTTTATGCAACTTTTAAATGGTAGAGGCTTAATTTTTGACTTCATCTGCAGGCTTGTTAAAGCTTATGTGTCCACACTGAAGCGGTGTGAAAAGATTAAGTTGCTAATCCTGGCTACCAGCCTAGCTGATGTGAGACTGTTGCACAGAAGGTGCCTGAGAGGTGGAATGGGGCAGAGTTTAGCTTTGGACAGCTCTTGCCAAAGAGTTGCTTGGTATCCCTGTCACTGTTTTTTGAGGTCCAAAAATATTTTTCCCCCAATAACCTATTTTTCTGGAAGAGAACACAGCTGCATTTATGAAAGGTCTTGGCTTTTACAGTAAGTCTGGTTTGTATAGTTTCCTCTCTACATGTATGTTGTCTGCAGAATTACCAACAGTCATAATGGAAAACACAGTTTTGTTACAGGAGCTTTCAACAGTGGTTTTTAGTAATTTAGAAAATATTGGAGCTACTTCCAACAAATGAAAAAAAAAATCAAAGCAGCTTTGAATGTTGATACACTTAAGGAAATAAATATTTGGTTTTAACCCTGCTCTATTATTCTCTCTCTGATAATAAACCCAATATAAAGCACTATGGATTTCAGTCGGCTCAACAGGAGATACTGTACAGCTTCCACCCCACCGTCCCCTGGGTTGGGGGGCTAAATCTCTGCTGAGATCTTGTACAGCTTTGCCTGGGTTTTGTGGGACAAACTCTCTTCAACCCTTGTATGCACTGTTAAAGCTGTCCTCATTGCACCTCTTTTTCCAGCATGAAAGTTCCTGGATTAAATTCTCCTCTATCAGAAAACTTGTATGGGAGGTACTCAAAATGTAAGGCCTTTCAAACCCTTGTGAGATCACAGCATTTAAAGATAAGATCACAGTATTGCCAAGAAATGTGTCTTGTTGAGGCCCACAATTAACTTTATCAAAAGAAGGAATCTTATTTTTGTCTGCTGTGGATAGAGGTTGCATCTCAATGCAGCCTAAAGTTAGATATAGCGTCTGGTTCAGATCACGATACGATGAAAGATTCAGGTTAATTAGTATTTATTCTTAGTTTATAGTTATTCCTTTTGACTTGAGCTAACAAGCAGGAGTTGGAACCCCACAAAGTTGTGTGTCCTGGGATAAGAGATGAATGAAGGAGACTCTCTGTGGCACAAATGTATTTAGGGAGATGGGAATTTCAGTAAGAAAGACTGGCCATTGCCTTGGGCTCTGATAGCCCACCAGGGAGGATGCTCTGGGGGATGGCTCAGTGCCAGTAGGGAAGACTCAGTGTAGGCATGGGCTGAGGCATTCCACAGGGCCATGGAGAAAGGGAGGTGTTCTGGGTCCCTGTCTGATCCAGTGCCCTCACACCTCCATGTCCACACAACCCCTGTCCACCACCTGTTACCCTTTCTGGGTATTTTTGGCCACAGGAATTGGTTGTGCAAGGGTGAGCCAGCAGCTGGCCGGCTGCCAGCCTGTGGAGAAGGCTTCCCAGAGCCCCTCCAAGGCTTTCAGTTCCCCTTTCTTGTCACTGTTTCCTGCAGCACCACGCAGGCTTTGCCAGCAACAACACCGCAGTGTAAGTGCAGCTGTTCATCTTAGAGTTGTTTTTTCCCTGATGTCTCCTAACTGCTTCCACTGGCTGGAGAGCAGCACTCCTCACTTCTTCAGTTCCTATTTTTGTACACTTTTCCCCACACCCCCCCCCGCTGGTGTTCAGTTGAAGCTGAGATGTCCTCAACAGGATCTCCTGTGTGTTTGAGCAGAACATCTCTTTTACAGTAACCTCACAGGCTGTTTCTACTCTCAGGCACTCAAAGAGTGGGGGGAATTCTCTGGCTTCGCAGGTTCTGGGCAAGGGCAGACCCGTGGTGGGCAGGCTCTGGGGCTCCTGCCCCTCAGCCATAAGGCTCTGCTTTCCCGCTCTCCGACATGAGGGTCTGGTCCCCCCAGCAGAGGGGTATGAAGGGCTATGGGGATGGCATTCCTGAGGGGCTGTGGAGATGGCAGCCAGGCTGTGGGTGTCACTGGGCTGAGGTAGTGGAGGTGATGGTGGGCAGGGCAGGCTGTGTCACTGGGCTGAGACAACAGAGGCAATGGGGGGTGGGCTGTGGGCACCTCTGGCCTGAGGGGATGGCCGGCTGAGGGTGTCACTGGGCTGAGACAATGGTGGGCTGTGGGTGTCGCTGGGCTGAGGCGATGGCAGGAGGGCCATGGGTGTCTCTGGGCTGCCATCATGGCATGGATGGAGTCAGGCAGCTTTTACCTCATGGGCATGGCTGCACAGGCCAGCCAGTGTACGTAGATTTGTGACTTCTCCCCTGCCCTCCTTTCTCCCCTGAGCTTCAAAGGCTCAGCAAGACCTAAGTTTAACTCCCTTAACGTGCTTTTGGCTGTCTCCTTTCTGTCCCCAGGCCCTGGGGAGGTGCTGGCCCCTGCAGTCACCTCAGGCAGGCTGTGAGATGAGGCTGAGCTTGCAGTCCCCCTTCCCGATGCTTGTTTGCAGGGAACTCTCTGAGGAGCTGTGGGGTTCAACAGAGATAAGATAGCAAAAACTGGGGTTTTGGATATAAGTTCATTTGCAGAAGGGTGGTAAAAGGGCCTTCAAATTTGCACATAAATAAAATAAGTGGTAATTCTCCCCTGGAAACAGCATAGTAGTCTATGGAGGGATTCCCAAGAAGCAAACTCCAGCCTCGGGGAGAGGTGCTGGGCTTTGCAAAATCTTGGCGTCTCACTTCCACCGCCTGTGGCAGCCAAGTCTTGGTGGACAGAGCTTGTTGCTTTTAGCACGGGAAAATCATAAGCTTAAAACTGTGTATAATAAATGTTGAGGGTGCCCATTTCAGTGCTTATGCCACCATAAAGACACTACTAAAAGAAAGAAAAGCAGGAAAATGCTTAACTGTGGGGCTTTATTATGTCCTGCTGTGCTGGTGATAAAGACCTATTACCTAGGCTGAATCCCAATTACATCAGGTGTTTTCTATGTCACTGTAATCACAAGCATCAGCTGTTTCAGCAGTGCAACAAAACATTTGGGATGACCAGCCC